TACCTCAACCATGACTAAATAACTTTCAAATATATATATATATATATATATATATATATATATATATATATATATATATATATATATATATATATATATATATATATATATATATATATATATATATATATATATATATATATATATATATATATATATATATATATATATATATATATATATATATATATATATATATATATATATATATATATATATATATATATATATATATATATATATATATATATATATATATATATATATATATATATATATATATATATATATAAGGCGTATCCAGTTTGCGATATTACAACAGTGGAAAGCCTACCCGTAGTAGTATTAGTGTTATCGAATGTGTATTTTGTAGTAGTGTTGGTGTTAGCTTGCGTTTCAGGTTTACCTGCAAACGGAGTATGAGAAAGCGAAAGGTATATACAATAAATTGAAGTCAATGGTAAGTATATACTTTTTTGTTATGGATTTTCTGGTACGTCGGAGAAGGCAGCCAATAATCTTTTTGAAAATTTTCTTCTAAAAAGTGGCCTTCAAAATATTGTGTCCACTAGTTGTGATACTCGACCGTCAAATAGAAGGACGGTTGGAAGTGAAGGCAGGGAGTTTTAGGAATTGGTTGCGAGCATATGTCGTGCAAGCTTTGTAGTCTTTGATACTGGATTTCGTTTTTGATCAACAGATGTCAACTTCTCAAGTGTAGAGTGAGCGTGGAAGTAGCTAGCTAAAGTAGAATGTCCTGGCTACTATGTTGGGTTGATTGCCAACAAAGCTATAGTCAGGATTCCCCGTCTCAATTCTGGTGGATAGGAGTGTGGGAATAAAAAAGGCTACCCAAACGGAGTTCAACATGGCAGCTGCTGAGGATGTATTGCCTAGAGATCGTCACATAGTGGAGATTATGCAGGTAGACATTGACACAGGTATCTTTCTTGATGGGTCTTATGTGAGGCAAGTCTTAGATGCGATCATGATGAAGGCACGAGGTGTTAGTTTATGCACGACCTCTAAGAGGGGTGAATTAGATTTATTGGATTTTTCTCTATTTGAAGTGTTAGCACTGGTTTTGTTATTTTTTAGAAATGATATGAAAGTAAATATGCTGAAAAACAAATGCGTAAAGTAAATGACACCGAGAAATATCATGGTTCCCCTCACAGTCCGAGAGTACTTCAGTCCCCTTTCAACACAAAAGAGATTTTCACTAATGTTAGATCTTAGGACAAGACACACCTAGTCTTCCTATACAAGACTCTAACAAAATACCAAAAACAATCCTTTTAGATTTTTCACTAAGTTGAAATGAGAACGATCCTCTCTTAAACTCAACTCTCTTACTTCCAACAATCCTGGACAACAAGGATTACAATAAACCCTATAAGAAGAAACAATTATCCTTCTTATAGTACACACCTAATTCCAAACAATCTTTGAAACTTAGGAATTTTTACAACAATTTTATTAAAATAAATTTATGAAGATTTGTAGTATTCTTTAAGACTTATAATAAAGTCTTCTTCTCTTTCAAGTATGAAAATTCAAGACAAATTCTCTCTAAGTGCTCAAGATACTTTTATGATAATAATGTGAAAACGTATTTCAAAAAGTATCTTAGTATGAAAAATGTGTAGAAAATAAATGTAGAGAGATTTTAATATTTTTATGAAAGAGGTAAATGAAAAATGAAAGTTTGAAATGAATTTATAGTAATGAAAGCAACCATTCAAAAGTCATGGCAATGGTTAGAGAAATTATGAATTTTAATAAGAGAAATGATGTAAGGGATGCCATGAAAAGATATGATGAAAATGTGCATTCAAACAAAGCAATTTTAAATTTTAAAATTAAAATATGTTTCAGTTCGGTGCAAATTATGGCGGTATTGTGTGCTGTTACGACGGTTCAAAATGCCATAATTTACCAAAAACTGAATGTTTGTAAAAATTGAAAATTTGTCTAAGTATTTGAAATAATCTTATGCAACATCTATTGATTTATCCAAGTCAATAGATTATATTTGAAAGTTATTTAATATGGTTCAAACATGAAAAATAATTTTTTCAATGTAAGAAATATTTTGAGCACTAAGAAATGTTCTAGTCAAGAATTTCATATATACCTAAAAGTTTGATTAATCCAATCTTGCAAATGTAGTCAAGTCTTATGCATTTCTTCTTTTTAATTCTTTGATCATATCATTGTTGAGTTTGTCTTCATCAAAACACATTGGAAGCTTGTCTTCACACGGAGAGCTTGATGTATCGCATACAACGCTGGAGGGCGGGGGGATTGATGGTCGAGAAGCTCGAGGAGGAGGAAAAGGAGCCAGAGGACGCAGAAGAGGCAAAAGAGGTGTAGTCCGACATACACACTAGTGCATTAGTATATAATAGTAGTATAATGGATTGCATTTTATTTTGACATCATGCTACTTTATCATTGTTCTCGACTTTTTAAACATTTATTGGTCTTTTATTTATATATGACATTTTTGGACCATTTGGATTTATGTGCACCATTTTTTGCATATCGATTGTATCGTTTAAATCTTCATATGAATACACGTAAACACAACATAATATGGAACATTATGTTCTGATAAGTTATGGAAATGTATCTCTGTAAAATTAATGGATATGCATCTCCAATACAATAAACTTGTATAATGACTTCTGAGTGTGATGCATGGTATGTGTTTCAAATTGTTGCGGAGATGTATCTCCGAAATAGTTTAACGCTTAATCAAATTTGGTGCGTCGGGAGATGCATCTCCGAAATCAGAGAGAATTTTAGTATTTTCGTTTGGTGTGTAAGTAACCCACAGGGTCCATAAAAAATTATCCTTTTATTTTTCCACACAAAGGGGCTTTTGCCCACCTTTCTCCCTTTACGCTTTCGAGTTGAATTGGATTTACTTCATGGGCCTTTTATAAATTCTGGCCTCATTCTTCTACCGCCCTACTAATTATATCAGAAATATATAGAAAATGTCATAATGCACCGTATATGTTATCTACACACCACACGAAAAATACTAAAATGTCTTCTAAATTCTAAAGACGCATCTTCGGACGCACCAAATACACACACTTCATTTATTTTTTAGTCACACCCTAATTTAATGAATAAATTTATTTCAGAAATGTATTTTCGAAACCTGCTGAACCAATATTTTACTCTTCCGATTAAAGTGAACCTTAACAGTCTATGTTCTATCTGACTATCGGTCACTCTACTTGGTCTACACATAGAACAAGTCTCATAGAAACGAGAGAGATGTTCCCATAGATCTCTAGAAACATTCATGTCAAACTAATTCTCCCTTAAACATGCTAGAATAATATTCTTGATATCAAAATCCATGGGATTTGGTGGTTGGAACCTAAGTGAAATTTTCCTAGCATCAGTCCTTCAACAATAAAGTCACATATTCCGCCTGGCCCTGGTGGTTGATTGTTCTTTCTCTAAAGGTGTTGACACTTTTGGTTTCACTTCTTTTTCTAACTATGCTAACTGAGTTGCTTTTTGATTAACAATAGATATTCTCAATCTCCAAATTGAATAGCAATACGTTCGATCTCTTACCTCACATACACAATCTGAAAATACATCAATAACTCTGCACGAAATTCAATAAGAACAATTAGTAAAAGATTATGTATTTTTCTTTTAAAACTTAAAAATAACAATAAATAAATAAATCAAAGTGCAATTTAATTTTCCTATTAAAATTAATTAACAATCTCATGCAACGATATCAAAAACTTGGCGGAATAATTTAACAAGTGTCGTAAATCTTCGTAAAGTAATAGAATCAAGTTTATATCCATGTGAATTGTTTTAATCTCAATTCAACAATATAATAAAGATGTTAAATTGAGGGTTTCGTATAAGAGTTTGTTTAACAAAAAAAAAGAAAATGTATTAAATTTATCATAGTTTTGAAACGATAAGACATTTCCGAATCCTTTATTTCTTATTATTTGATAATTGTATATATCCTCTAAATCCACTCATTTAGTACCAACATGAATTAATAAAATAGTTATGACCAATTTTTTCTCTTTCAATTACAATTTTCTAGTGTCTTTGGGAAATTTGTAATCAAAAAAGGTTTTATTAAACATTAATTTCTATATCACAAAAGAATATTTTAATAAGTAATTATTAATTGAACAATTAAATTAGATTGAGTTTCAAGAATTTTGGATTAATAATCAATCTCAACTTAAGATCAATTCATACATTTGCTAACTTATAAAAATTTGCTAACATATAAAAGCCATTGAACACAAATTTAACTAAATAAATACTAGGATTGCAATTTCATAGAATAATATTCAACAATGATATAATTTAAATAATGTAAAATAAATTCATCTAGGGCCTAATCAAAGCTAATTTAGCTATTCCAATATAAAACTTTCAATCTTTGTTCTCAAAATTTCTGATGCAGTTCAAATCCTGTAAAAATTCTAAACCCCTTAAAATTTGAGAGAATTTTTCCTTTTAAATTGGGTTCAGACGTGTTAGAGCTTTCTTTTCTTGCTTCCAAATTCTTCTTTTCTTTCTTCTTTGGACAGATTTTTCATTTGTTTCAAATATGGCAAAAATTCACATTCAAACCAAGTAATTCTCCACCAAATCTGCCACTAACATTAAAAACTATTTATAAAACTCAATGATAACATATTATCATCAATAAGCATAATGAAGAAATGAGCATGAAATATCAAGGATGATAACATGTGTGATTGTGAAAGCAAAGCACAACTTTATTTGATGTATATCCATCAATCATAAATAATTTCTATAGCTAGCATTCTAATTTTCTACTTCAAAATAGAATGCAGCTGTAAATAACTCTCTCTCATACATTTCATTATCCTGTTTGAAAGAATAGGAAGAATAATATATAATACAGCATATAAAACAAAAATATGTATATCTGGAAAATCGATTCTAATTAATTAATAATTTGTTTAACTTCTTGAACTCGTTGAGAAAACCTCCATATTTGAAAGATCAAAAGAATCCCAAGAAGTGTTCCAACTCTCAGATATCAAATTGACACCAGCAGAATTTGAATTAACAGTAACAGGTAATAACTGATCATGATTATCACCCTCATTCAATGGCAATGGCAATGGCATCGAGTAATCCATCTCCATTTGCATCATGGATGGTGGTGGTTGTTGCCATGTCGACACCATCATAGCATCAGAAGAACCAGGCCATAGAACATCTTGAACCACATCTTCATCAACACCCAGAAACCCGTCAAACTCACTCAAACTCAATTCATGATCAAAAGGATCCCCATTTACAACCACTGCATCATGATCAAATGAATTTTGAGGCTGGACCACTGCATCATTCTCGGTTTCAACGCTGTCCGTTGTCGACAAATTGTTCATATTGTTAGAAGAAGATGATCCAATATTATTGTACACCTCACTCTCAGTTTCTAATTCCTCGTGATCACCATGGTGATGATTACTTGTGTTTTGGTTTAAGAATTTGGCAAAAACAACGGCCATGTCTATATCACGTGAAACATTATTCTGATTCTGTTGATCACCATCAACAGAACCAGAGCCATCTGTGGAAAGGTGGTCGGTACTTAAATTTCTGACCACCTTTCCACGGCGGTGTTTGCGACAACCACCACCAACTGGAACATTTCGAAGAGAGCCACCTTTCGTCCAATAACGCCTACAGCCTTTACAGAAATACCGAGGCTGCGAAAGGCTGTAATTGTTATAGTAACAGAATTTGGTGTTTGTGGAAGCGCAGCGGGGACAATTCGGAGCTATTTCAACGTGTGGTTTCCACTTGGAATTTGATTGGTCCATTAAGGTTGTTGAGAATGGCATGGGATTAGAAGATGAAGAAGATGATAGCATATGCAACATTTGATCTAGCTCGTTACTAGTAATATTGTTATGTCTTTGTTGGAACATTTGTTTAGATAGTTGTGAAATTGGGATTGATGAATAAAGAAAATTGAGAGTGAGAGAGATATTATAAGGTGTGTGTGGTGAGGAGAGAGGAATATGCGTGTGAGAGTAACGTGGGCGGTTGGGGGAGTCGTTGGAATTAAGGAAGGGTGTGAGTGTGCACATGTGCATATGGTTAATATAATTGTGTGAGTTTGTAAGAAAGTTTGTGATTGATGTTGATGTGAATTTCATGTTATAGTGTGCTATTTCATAGGCGGATGGAACGTGTTTCATTTACTCATGTGGCGTTTCTTCATTGGGTCTTGTTCTTGAATGTGATTGAAGTTGATAAGTCAAACAATTGATTGCATATATAGTTATCATTGTTCATGCAAAATTACCAATTCGCCCTTGCAACATTAGTGAAATTTTCAGTGTGGAACTTGGTTAATTTGACAAGTGAAATAATTGGTTATGGGAATGATTTGAGTATTCTGGGGTGATAAAAAAAGTTGGCAAGAATGTAGTGTGAAACAATGTAGAGTGTGTTGGATGTAGTGAAGAGAATTGTGGTTTATGGAATAAGTTTCAATTCAATATAGTTTATGAAAAAAGGCTAGCGTTACGGGTGTGGGAGCATGATCACCACGTGCTTCAAGGGGATACGTGTCATATCTATAATCTCTTTTAGTTTTAACTTTTTCTTTTAAATGATAAAATTAGGCAAATGAAGCTAGATTTCGTTGCAATTATGTGCACTAGTTTATTTAATTCAATCCTATAATGGTCAACCAACCTTCCTCTAATATGCTTAATTCCGTAGTTCATTGACTGAGAAAACGAGTGACGGGATTAATTATTGTAAGCTATACTCCTTACTTCTCCTTCAAATTAAGGATAGATATATTAGAATATGTAATTATTGCATATTTGTTTAATATAAAAGATATGTATATGTTCTAATATATTTTGGTAGTCGAAATTGAAGATTATTGGCTGTTGAGATTAAGTCAAAAATTAATAATGATTTGTTTGTGAAGGTCCTTTAGTGAATATGTCAACTATTTGATATTGTAAAGGGACATGTAACATACGAATTTGATCACGAGTAATTTTTTCAAGCATAAAACGAATATCCATCTTAACGTGGTTGGTGCGTTGATGTTCAACGAGTTGCTGAAGAGATATGTGACGCTTATATTATCACAGTAGACTAATATCACCTTTGAGACAGGGCAATCTAATTTCAAAAGAAGATTCTTAAGGCAACATGAACCAGATACTACATTAGTCACTCCACAATATTCAATTTCAGTATTGGAACGAGACAATGTAGGTTGTTGTTTGGTAGACCAAGAGATGAGGTTGCCCATACAATACCAAGATGTGAACCTTCTAGTGTTTAGACATCCACCCCGCTCTACATCAATATATGTGATAAGTTTATCAAAGAAAGGATATAGATGTAAACCAAAATTAAGAATGCTCTGAGTATATCGAATGATGTGCTTCAAGGAAAACATATGTTGTGTTTTCTGATTATGCATAAACAAGCACATTTGTTACACGACATAAGTGATATTGAGTCTTGTAAAAATCAAGTATTGAAGTGCTCCAACAAGACTACAATACTGAGTGGGATCGTGATATGAATTTTTAGAATATTCACTTAGTTTGACTTGTGTGTCCACTGGTGTAGCATATGGTTTGCAAGAAGACATACTCACATGCTAAATAAATTCCTCAACATGTTTCTTTTCTGATAGAAAAATACCTCATGTATGTCTGGTAACAAAAATACTGAGAAAGCAACTCATAGGACCTAAATCCTTCATAGCAAATTTGGAGCCGAGTTTAGTCGTAATGGATTAACAAAGGGAATATGAGGAGGTTGTCATCATGATGTCATCCACTTAGTGAAAGATAAATGATATATCATTACCTCAATGGTATACGAATACTAAATGATTTGAGATGTTGTAAAATAAACTCAAGGTAGCAACATAGGCAGTAAATAACAGATATAAAGCACATGGTGCTTGTTTAAGTCCATAAAGTGAATTTCTGAGAAAGCATACATAATCAGGATGTTAAGGATTGCGTAAACTTTGTGGGTTATGCATGTAGATAGTTTTATCAATATTATCATGCAGGAATGGGTTCTTGACATCTAATTAATGAAGACTCCATGATTATGATAAAGCAACACTAAGTACCATATGAATATTGGTTGGTTTGACTACAGGACTAAAAGTCTCACCATAATTGATACAATTTTGTTTCCCGACACCATCACCTAAGAGTCAAGCTTTGTACCTTTCAAAGGATCTTCCAGATTTCTTTTTATGCCTAAAAATCCACAAACATCCAATAATATTAGTATTAGGCGGACGAGGTACTAAGTAACACATCTTATTTTAAATAACAACGTCATATTTGTCTTTCATAGCAATTTTTAAATTATGATCCTTTAATACATAAATGGGATTGTAAATAATGGAAAAATAGAGTTTGGAGATATGGTATGGAGATTAAAGTGTTTGTGAGGCTTAAAAACTCCATGTTGTGCTTGGGTGATTATTTGAGGTGAGGGAGGTAGGTGATACGTGAAATGATTGAGCCGACAGTTTATGGAGACGAAAACTGTGGCAGAATGAGATTTTGTGTATGTTATGGCATTTTTTGTGTGGAGGTAGGAGTCATATTAGCAGGATTCAAGGAGGAGGTAGTTGTGGTCGATGTGGTAGCATTAAGAGTAGGGGAGGATTGGTTCGTTGTAGTGGTATTTTCATGAGAATAGGTTAGATGGTAGTTTAAAAAATGTGTGTCATTTGTACCCATAAAACTCATAATTCGAGCTTAGAGCAGTATTTAAGGTAGAAAACAGAAACATGTTTTCAGCAAAAGTTACACGCATAAAAATAATTATTTTACAATTTGACAACTCATAACATTTATAACCTCTATGATTTGAAGGATAACTCAAATACAGACATGGTTTTGAGTGAGGTTAACGTAGATGGAAAGATAGGGTAACAATGACAACCAAAGAAATTTAGGTGAGATTATGATGGGTCTTTTTGGTAGAGAATTTTATTGGGATTTCGTAGGGTTAGATTTTTGTTGGGGAGGACGTTGAAGAGGTAACTGTTCATCTATAGTGCGTGATGCCAAAAATTAGGTGGGAGATAGGAATGAGCTAGAAGGGTGTGGATGATATTATTGATGGTGCAATTTTTCTTTATGCTTTTCCTTTTTTAGGGGAGGTCTCAAGATAAGAAAATCAAAATTTCATTCCATTAAGTTTACAAAATTTATGAAAATGTGCATTGTCATACTCTTTTTTATTATCACATTGAAAATATTTGATTTCTCTTTCAAACTGTGTTTTAATATAAGCATGAAGCTGAATAAAAATGGGCGACATCTAAATATCATGATGCACAATATCAAAAGACAAGGAAATATATGAAGAATATTCATAAAAAGGTAATTTTATTTGTTTTCCCTAAGGAAAAGAATTGAAAAAAAATTATTCTAGAAACTTATCACAGAAATTAAAATTGTTTTGGTGAAGAGAACTTAAACGGAGTGTTTGAATGTCCTAAGTAGTTGTTCCATAATTCTTTTGATAAAGTAAAAAAAGGTGGGGGTGAGCAGTTGGTAGTGGTTGGTCTTATAGTAATTTGATAGAGGTTACTCGAGCCATAACATCTCATTAAAAGAATTTTCGTCTGAAAAATCCTTCACAAAAAAACCAAAAGGATCAAATTCGAAAGATACATCATTATCAATGGTAAATTTTTTTTACTTAAACAATATTTTTAATTAACTTTGATTCATGTAGGACATTTTTAAGGTTTGGTAATGATGATTATTATGTAATAATGTATTTCCACAACCAATAATTAGAATATTATTACTACTACTAACTATAATGTTATTGCTCATATTGGAATAAGATGTGAGATTACATACATTATCACTCATGTGAGAAGTGGCCCAGATGTCCATGTACCACTAGTCATCAACAAAAGTCATATGTAGAGTATGGTTTGTAGCTTGAATGCCAGTTGGTGCATATGATGTTTGAGCTCTAGTTGTTGTTGTGGTTATCATATGATCCTATTAAGGCTTAGACCAAATAACTCATGGCCAACAATGAGAAGGAGAATGATTCTACCAATTTGGTGTTGTAGGTTTGTTAGTTGGAAATTTCGACGCCAAGGATTTGCTTTAAATATGATAATAAAAAAGAAACATTTTTTAAATATTTTGGATTTTGACAGAAGTATCGTTGAGAATTCCAGTCGAAGTGATCATTTATGAGAAGGATGCGCTGAAGCAAGAATTAGAAATATTTCTAAGTTTGGATGGCAAATTCGATGAAGGAGATATAGAACTTGCGTTCGACAGAGATTTTGAATTTCAAATAAGGATGATAATTGTCTTTTGTTCTTATCTGTTTCTTAGAAATGACGCGTGTAAAGCTGTGGTGAATTGAAAACATGCAGAGCAAAACGTGTCATTTTCTTGACAAAAGACTGTTGATGACAGTTATTTTCAACGTAGTATAAATAGGAGTCTTAGTACATAGGATTTTCGTGTGTTCAATTGTTGTACAAATACTCACAAATCACTCAAAGTATTTAAGTTAATTGAGAAAAGAGTTCCATTGAGAATGTATGTCTGAAACACCATTATTTTTATTTCAATTGAAAGTTATTTTCAGTTTACCATTTATTTCTTCATTGCAAATTTACTTTGAAGTTTCTTTATTGCAATTTCTTCACAATTATGCCAATTTACCTTTTAAGACTTTAACAGTCTTCTACAATCATGAGCATTATCGAAGTGTTATTGAGATTTTCAAAAATAGTTTAAACAATAGCACATGTCCTAGGATTCGCTGGTTGATCCTGCAAGTAAACCAATTTTTTGGAGACCAGCGGTTGTTTACCAATTTTCACAGTAAATAAGGGTATGGACACAATGGTGTGGATCTATGTGATTGCAGGTAT